TATGTTTTGACTGCTATGTTGTAGTTTATATTTCTATTGTTTTGAATAGGGTCATTCATTCCCAGCCTTCACGAATTGCGCGCAGCTAGAATTCGCAAAAGCATCTTTCTATTTTTGAAAAACTTTTATATACAGTATCGTTAGGGAAGCAATTGTACTTTTCTTTGAAACAAGTTTTATTACAAACAACAGATATTTTCTGTCAATCCAATTTATCTATCGTCTTTTCTAAACTGCGTTTAACGTTCTGCAAACCTGCCCGTAGCAGATGCAAAAAAACAACCCCCAAATGAAGATTTCGACTTACATGATTCATCTTGAAGGTGGGATGGGGTGAGTGAAAGTAAACCGAAGGAAAAACGTCGGAAATGCTTTCACACACTCCCCGGCCTTTTGAACAGGAGTAGAGGTTTATCCCTTGTTTCCTGATTAGGATTGTGTTTCTGGTTCCTTCCAAAGGCTTCTCATTCTCTTTCAGTGGTCCATTGCGTCTTAGTGAGAATATCACCTTGCAGAGAGAGAAGTGATTGTTAAAAATAGCTACAGAAGAAAAATAGATCATTTTTTGAATGGGTCGTTATAAATCGAAACGCAGAAATTGTATAAACAACGTAGAACGGTAACGGTCACATACATTGAAGGTATTGGAATCTATTTTTTTTTAATTAATATATGGTTGCTTTTGTTGAACGTAAATAGCTTCAATAATCTTTGGTTTGGGGTTTATGGTATATTTGAGTATTGTTAGTTAAGAGCTGTCTAATGTTACAATTCTTGTACTTGTTAATGTGTTGATTAATATAACTTTAAGATAGATGGCATGTAAGCCTGCGTGAAAGTGTTGTTGTTGTGTAACCTATATGAGACATATTTTATTTATTATTTGCAGGAATAAATATCCAGTTGGAAAAATAAATTAATAAAGAACATTTGTCCTATGTAAGGGGTTGGTAGGTTGGGAAATGTTATTTTTGATTATTGCATTATTACTTTTCAAATTTTTTTAATGATAAATGTGTATATGTATCAACAGCTTTAATATATCAATGTATTGTCCCTTTTATTACTATTTCATTCTTTTGTGTGGCGTATTACATCTCTGTAGAATATGCTAATGACATTGTTATTAATCTTGAGAAGTCGAGTTTCTATTAAAATGATTATTGTGTAAAGGAAATCTATTTTTTTTAGTCAACAGCATAATTATGCTTGCCGTTACTAAATAGTTACTTAATTCCTTAAAAAATGTGTTTTTGATGAGGAGATTAATTTTGCTAATTACATTAAATTGTTTATGAGAACAAATTTATATATTTCGGATCATTCAATATTGTAGTTTAGGAGGCAAGAATTAGAACTGGATGAAATTTTTCTTCCTTTTTTTTTCGGATTTTAATTTTTTTTTTTTTAAATTTGCGGCAGCCATGTTTGTGGAAGGATCGCAGTTTGGAAAAGACAAGAGATAAATCGAATAGACATAAAATGTAAATCTTTTTAATACATATATATATAAATGCACACACACACATATATATATATATATATATATATATATATATATATATATATATATATATATATATATATTGTCTTTCAAACTGCGATTCTTCCACAAACATGGCTGCTTCAAATTAAAAAAAACATCCGAGAAAAAATGAGAAAAAATTATTTCAGTTCTAACATATATATTTATTAACTATAATTTTACAAGAAATGGATATGAAAGGACAGCGTTTAGCGAGACGTATATATATATATATATATATATATATATATATATATATATATATATATATATATGTGTGTGTGTGTATTAAGCAGACGTTTTACCTAGGAATATTTTTAAAAAATAACTAACGTAATGAATAACTTTACTTAAAAATATTTATCTACGAAGATACTGTTATCTTTAAAGAATTGATTAAAAGTTAATCCGCAGACGATCAATGTTAAATAATAACGTCTGCTTTCTTACAATTTGGAGGAGAAAAAGAAGAAAAGAAAAAAGAAGGGAAAGGATAAATATACAAATAAACAAACGTTGACAAATGGTAGACTTATAAATACGTTAGATGCAAGAACAATACACATTGAATCAACTTTTTTAGCAGCAAGCCTAGGAATTTATTCTGTATAGTCTTTCCACTTTATGTCAGCGGAAAACGTTAGTCAATTTGATTTTATCGAAACTATTAGATTTACAATTAAGAAATTATTAGATTTACAATTAAAATAATTAAGTGTAATTGAAAGATATGCAAAAAGTTAATTTTGTATAATCCAAGAATTTAAAGATTAGTGTCTAAATGCCTATTAATATTTTTTTATAAGAGCTAACATTTCTGTGAATGTGAGGTTCAGAATTATTTTCATTTATTTCGAAAGAACTCCATTAAACAAACTTAACTAAAAAATTTAAAAAAAGTCATTTTGAACAACATTGTATGGTTTTTTAGGAAATCTTCGTCGCAATAACCAGTTAGTACAATTTTGGCTTACGGCCATATAGCGGTGAAATATCGGTTCCCGTCCGATCACCGATTAAGAAACGTCCAACCTGGTTAGTTTCTAGAAAACAAAGTGTTGTAACCTTGGATGTAAGGGTGATGTAGTGAATAACTATTAATCGTAGAAACAAGTTCTAATTTCAGTTGGGTTCGTTATACTCTTGGGAAAAGGTATGAATCCACCTCTTCTCTCCCAGTTATAGGTTCATTAGTAAAACTTGCATCGTTAAACTATTAATATCGAAAAAGAGTCTTGCAGTCTAAAACTATTTTGTTTTTTTTCGCTACACACTAATAACCATGTTTCAAAAATGGAAGCTAAAAGCTTCAAATTTAATTTTGTAATTAGTTCCACTTCATCCTCAAGCGAAAACGAAAAAAAAATCAGTTGAGGATGAAATGTAACTAATGTTTTTAATTTAATTACAAAATTAAATTTGAAGCTTTTAGCTTCCATTTTTGAAACATGGTTATTACTGTGTAGCGAAAAAAATCGTATTTTAAATCAGTTAATTTATGATATTAATACTCTGTAAATTTACATTGAGTACTATTTTGTAAAAATAAAAATATCAATAAGAACACCGGATTATATATCTTACTGTTCTTTCTTTATATATATATATATATATATATATATATATATATGTGTGTGTGTGTGTGTGTGTGTGTGTGTGTGTGTGTACAGGGTAATTGAAGAGTAACTCCCTTTAGCTAACTCCGGTTAGAGCATGTCTACTATACCAAACCAAGACTTTGGAAGAACTTGAAGCGCGAATAAAAGAAGTTGTCTCCCATACCACAAGAGTTCCCGGTGAAATCAATTGATGCGGTTCATAGCCTCCTCAAGAATCTGGTAACGAAATTTAGTGCCCATATTGAATCTTGAATAGAACCTCTCGCTAAAGACTGTCCTTTCATATCCATTTTTTTGTAAAAAAATATTGTTTATAAGTAAAATTATAAGTATTTTAATATATATATATATCGATGCGGGCTCGACTATGTGGGCAAAACTATCCAGAGGCTTGAGGTTAGAATCGCCCAACATGTCCCGGGCTGCGTGCGCAGGCATGAGTTTGTGACATCTGGGTGTTCGCAGACTCATGCCTCTGCTATCGGTGAACATCTATTAAATTCTGGTGTTTGTAGGACTGAGTATTCTCCCATTTCTTTTCGGTATTGCATTAGGGCTAGGAACAGACTCCACCTCGACATTTTGGAGTCTGTTATTATCAACATACG